CAATCTGCTTCAAGGTTTTTAATAATGGCTTTTCTCTTAGATCTATCCCTCTTATTTATAAGCTTTTTGATTTCACTAGTAATCCAAGGGACCCCTTCCGATCTGATCTTTTTTTGTTGAATGGGTGCATGCTTATTTAGTACTTCCTCAAACAATTTCTTCCAAATCTCCCACATAGTGTTTGGATTATCAGCGAAGAAGATACATATTCCCAATGCTGATTAAGTAAATCTTCAACAAATTTTTTGTCATCAAAGTTTTTCATATTTCTAATTTCCACTATGTTTTCGTCTTGTTTCTTAAAAATATGGATTTTTCTGATGGTAAATACCAAACTATGATCACTGATACCTGTATAAATGACACCAGAATCTGAGGTTTTCTTTGGTGTATTAGTAACTATACTAGAAAATACATGCATGCAGAAACCCTCGCCTTGCTGACAAAACCATTTTATTTTCCGAACGTAAAGTATTTTAAGTAGTTGTCATGGTAACACGATAATTTTTTAAGAATATTTTTACAAATGAAAAATCCCCTATAAATATCACTTTTAATTACAATATATTACATATATATGTTAGGTATGTTATTATACGTAATATAAGCTTGAATTTAAGGTAAAATTCAACCACAAACGTTTCGCAAAACGTTTTAATTAAAATGTTCTTTTACTATAGAACTAAACTGCCTTTATCGATAAACTTTGAGTTCGAAATAAAATGATTCCAAATTCTCCCATGCAAATAACTTTGCTTAGTATAATAAATTTAAAAAGTGTAATCAATAAAGAAACACTGAAATAATACGCTGTCTTGTTTCATATTTATACATAACGATCGGCTTTTAAAGTAATTACAGTAGGTATGTTATTATACGTAATATAAGCTTCAATTTAAGGTAAAATTCAACCACAAACGCTTCGCAAAACGTTTGAAAGTGTTCTTTTAATATAGAACTAAACTGCCTTTATCGATAAGCTTTGAGTTCGAAATAAAATGATTCCAAATTCGCCCATGTAAATAACTTTGCCTAGTATAATAAAAAGTGTAATCAATAAAGAAACACTGAAATAATACGCTTTCTTGTTTCATATTTTATATACGCAACGATCGGCTTTTTAAGTAATTACAGCCGAGATTACAGTATATTAAAACCAAACAATGCATCAATATTTAAAACAAACTTACCCTCGTTAACGTCGGCACCTTTACTTCCTTCTTTTAGCAATCCTCTTGCCTTTATTTCATCAAAAATCTTTTGCAATTTACAAAATCTTGCAAAAATGAAATATATTTGCAAGAAATCATCAAATTAATTTCGATGTCGTCAATCGTCATGCAGCCGTTATAATGCCAATTTTAAATTGGACCAATCAGTGTTGGCTATTCATTACAGTCCGCTATATTATGAGATCAGTGAGGATAACCACCCACCGAAACACGCACAGTGACCCACGTCCGCAATATTTGATGAACTTTAGACTTCGCTAATGCTTCCCTTCCCCGGGTGTAAATAGCCGGGGGGGAATTAGTACCCTCGCACGGCGCTTCGCGCCGTCGGCTCGGGGTTGATCAATGAGGCTGGAGGTTGTCATGGTTACCCGAGTAGCTTCCTTAATTAATTGTGACAATTGATATAGTTCATACAGTGATTTTATTTTCTTGGTTGGTGTATCGGATTCTGCTTTAAGCATGTCACAATTTAAATCACCAAGAATATACATTTCTTTATTTTCATCATCAATCGCTTTGATTAATTTTTCAAAATTTTCAAAAAAATCATGTGATGAATTTGGTGGTCGATAAATAGTTGTAACCAAAAATGGCCGACTATGTGGCTTACTAATTTCTACACAAACAGCCTCCAATTCGGAGGGAACAAGATCATTTCTTATTTTATAGTTGATTGAGCTACGCAAGTATATACAAACTCCACCCCCATTTCTTGATCGGTCTTTTCTAACAATGTCATAGCCATCAAGGTCAATCACATAATCAGAAATATTTGAATCAAGTCGGGTCTCACTAAAACCAATCAGGTCAATGTGTTTGTTGGACATTGAGTAACGCATTTCATCAATCTTTTTTGGCAAACTGACAATATTTAGGAAAGCCATCTTAAAACCTCTTTCATTGGGAATAGAATTAAGGCTAGTGAGAAAATCGCTACCCACATTTTCATTTGACGGATCTATATTAATTATTTTGTCCACTCTTTCATACGATGTCCAGCTAGTCGAAAAAAAGGCTGTCCATGTGCATGGCATGGCCTAGAACTGAACGTTTTAAGAATTCGTCTTTATCTCAAAGTATATTATAGATCAACAGTAAATAAGTAGGTTTTTAGAAATGTAAATATAACTTTTAAGTATGTGCTAATAAATATGTAATTTTAACTTCTCTTAATTTATATAATACTGATGTAATTTAACCATTCGGTTACAAAGTCATTAATCATTAAATCAATTCAATTCAATATTTTACATCAGCGTTGTCTTTAGGGTCACATTGGCTTCTCCTTACTTTTGTTTTAAAAACCTTGATCGCGTTAAAAGAGCTACTTTTCATACTAGTTACATATAGCCAAAGACTTGCCATTAACGTCCTTGTGATTTTACAGAGGTATCACTAGAACTAAGGATTTTAGAAAACGTTATCTGTACTTTCTCAAAGTTGCAACACTACTACTGTAAGTTACAGCGGCGTTACTGTAAGTCAATTGCACCAAAAGTTAATCGAGGATAATTGCCACGACAACGAGTACGAAACCATCATTCTACGCATTGGAACCAATGATCTGGTGACAAACATCATGATATTTATGCAAGTCTTAGATCATATCCGCATAAAATTGTTTGTGGTAAAAGATCTTTGAGATTGTCATTGTCAATGTTGTTATCAAAGAAATGTTCGCATAATTTTTCTCGGCGATCTTTCAGCGACGTGATTTTAGTCGTGATCAGTGCTTTGTCAAAATTTTGCTATAGAAGGGTGATTCTCAATGCACGTTTTTCAATTTTTTCAATATCTTCACATAAATATTGTTAGATAAATTGTAATGCCAGACCTGGCACGCGTACTGAAAAACAGGTCTAATTATGATAGTAATACAATAATCAATGTGTCTATATATAAGTTGTTTAGGGATCCAAATTGTCGTTTATCGATCTTCCCACTAATTAACTCCATCGGCCAGTCTGCAACAAAACGTTCACATGTTTTTGACAAAGTGGCAGTAAGCGAGATGGGACGCAAGTCTTCAGTGATGTCACTCGGCACCTTATTTTTAAGGACAGCCAGAAATGCGGTCAGCTTTTTTCCATACCATGGGAACATATATACGCCTACTGAAGAGAAGTTTTGAAGATTGAAGTAACAGGAGGAGCCAGTAGGGGCGCATAATCTTTTATACCCAATTCGGTACTTCATCTGGGCCATTTAAGGTACTTACTTTCTCGATTAGCACGATTACGTAGTCGACGGTAGAATTTGTAATTTTTCTGAAAAATGCCTTTTGTCTGCTTTTAATAAGTTCTTATATGCCGGAGTTATGTCAAGGCTTATCTCGGTCGTGCATTTTAAGTACCTTACATAGAAAAAAGTAGTCTATGCCAGTATGAATAAAATCCTGGCAAAGTTCTAGTTTTTGTTCACACAATGCGGCACGATACAGGTTAGTCCAACTATAGTTTGGCCATCTTCCAAATACAGCCCTTGGCACCTTTTTAATTGAACCCACCGGGTTACATAAAACGGAATTATGGTCGCTCAGTCCAATGGGTGCGATCACCTTACGCGAGTCACGTGTGTCTGACATATTAGTAAGAATAAGATCAAGGACCGCATTTTTCCATGTTGGTTGTTTCACATTTGTTTCAACGTTAAATGTCTCAATAAAAATGAGACTGGAGATCTGTTAAAATTTCCGAGTAAAAATATACCTGCATTTGGGTACTTATTGATTTTATTGAGAGCGAAGTCAAGTGTTGTGCTCAGGTGATCTACAGAATCGGAGTTATCCCTGGATAGAAGATCATAGGCCTTACATAAATCCATAAAGTTTCAAAACAGATCTCACTAAATTCTGTTAGAATTTTGAATAGGTTGCTAGTAGAAGGCATAAATAAATGTTCACATCAAAGACAAAAGTCATGCAGTCCAAAAGTAAAAAATCTGCTCTGCAAACTTACGACAATATGGCGTAATGTATTCATGAGCTATTTATTTGGTGATTTCAAAGTATACGAAAGCCCTGTTTCTAATAATAGTCGTCAATCGCGCAAAATAGCACCAACCGATATAATAGTTAAAATGCAATGATAAGTTATTTCTTGAAATACGTCTCAAAAACTGTTTAGGAAATTTAAATGCTGACCCATTACATATACCATTACCGTTTTGCATCGTTGCATAAAACATTTTGACCGCATGTATGGATCCATTTCTCAGCCCAGAGACATAGCCCAAAGATTTAATATTTTAACGTCCTTGTGATATTATCGAGATAAAGCCAGAATTCAGGATTCTAGCTAAAAAGCGTTATCTGTACCTTCTCAAAGTTGTAAACAAGATAATTATGTTGTATACGTCCAACACGCATAATATTACAAAACTCAAAATGATTCGAGCAAAACCGGTCTTTTGTTAAACAGGAACACTTGTTTATAGAAATTGGTTTATTTGAGTGACATAATCGTTTCTCGTCATCGATTCCGTTCCCTATCGTTAAACAATGAAAAAAAAAATGTCGCGAAAAAACTGCAGTTCTAAGGAGCGGAAACTTTTCGGACTTGAACTCAGCATGTTCGAAAGTGTTAGTTCCTGTAAAAATAATTCAGTTCCAAGACATGGAAATGAAAATCGTTTTCTAGGCATTTTTTGGAGGTGACAGCAAACGACTTATTTTTAGCTAAAATGAAAACGAACATGACGTATGGATCTTATTGAAATTTTTATCATTTTAATTTTAGTCGTGGAAGTGGAACGAATTCTGCAACAATGGTTTCATTATATATATTCTTCCTGTCAACGTTAACACAAGTTGACATCAATAATGACAACCTTGGAAGACAATTCCGTGCTGGATTGGTATCTTCTACAGAAAGCGGCATTCGAAAATTGACATTGAGGAATAGATATGTTTTGGCGAGAAATATTCAGCGAACTACAGCTGCAAATGTCGGTAAATGCGTGGAGAAAGTAGCATAGTTACAATAGTGCGGTCAATCCCGAAAGAATTCTGGATTGGGGTGTTCAACGATCTGTTTTTTATGCTTGTTAAACATTATCGACGAAAAACCCCTACTTTTGAAAAATGTTGCCGGGAAAAACGTCTCCTCATTGGAATTAATTAAAAAAATTAATATTTTGATATCGAGAACATGTACTGTATTACGCTCAGAAAGTTTTCAATTATTATAAATGATATCTAAATTCACTTAAACAAAGTGAGGTAGACTACTTTAAATATTGGAGAAATATTAAATGGCATGTTCTGTCACGTTCACTGCAATGTACTATATTTTGTAGCTGACGTGAATGAGTGTTTATCTTCAACTCGCTGTGGTCCTGCTCAACGTTGTGTAAACTACCCTGGAACGTACCGTTGTTACTGTAGCAGTCCACGACAAATTATTATTGAATCTGGTCTATGTTCAGGTAAGAACACGATTTCCTGACTTCCGAACATTTCGTAAATGGGAGGAACGAAAAGTGAGCGCACCTAAATTGAATGATTATAGCTTTTGCCCGTTTCAATTTAAATACACAACACTTCACTACTTTCCTAAAATTTATCTGGAAGTACTACATTGTATTTGTAGTGTTTAGGTCGCTTACCTAAACCTTGTTGCCATGATAACCAAGTTTATGTAGACGTGTCAAATCAATATTTTTTCAGCAAATGTTTTTTTTTTGTTTTATCACATCTTTGGGCCTAAAGCTTATTTTTGCAAACATATGCCTAAGATCTGAGTTATTTATAACGTCGTCAATCAAAGATGGCGGAATTCAACCTGGCGGTGGAATTCAACTCAATGACGTAATCTAGTCAAAATCCGGTCGTTTAGGTTCGAAAGTGAAGAACATTCACAATTTACTCTAAATGATAATTTGATGTAATAACTCGGCCTCGCGGACCAATAGTTAATAAACATCTTTCTATAAAAGACCGCCAAATCTCATATATTTATATATAATAATATTCAGAAACCACAAATCTTCGTTTCCGAATCAGTTTCAATTGAAAATTGCAAAACAATGGTTTTAGAAATATACATTAGAAATTCGAGAATTTGACTAACGATGACGTTATAATGACGCCACCACGTGTTGCAATGGTACGAGAAGTTGCGCGCAATTGAACCTGTCGTTCATGACCGTCTTATCTGAAAGTTTCGTTATCATACCTTACCTACTTTTGGGGATATTAGCCGCTGTAAAATTCCAATCCGCCCCCTCAGTTTCAGGAGACAAATAAAGCCCATTCTTGATATAGGAAATAATAAGAATGAGGCACAAGCATCTTTATTATAATACAAGATTTGCTGTATTTGTTTACCTTTAAATAATCATCGTCCAATATTTGCAACGTGCATGAATCAAATTCATCTCGTTATTTTAAAATTGTATTTCATTCGTTGAAATTGGCATTTCATCAAAACCAAAGGATTTGGACCATTCAAGGCAGTGCAATAAATTCTGATTAAAATTAATATTTGAAATACATTCGCATCGATAGATTATACTATTGTTTTTAGATGTTATAACATTTCAAGGAATTTTAAATATCACAAATCTGGGCACTTTTGATCCAAACCTTCTCATTATCAACAGTATTCCTTGGCTACAGCTTGCTTTATCACTGGAAAGTGCGGTAAGTCTTATAATTGTACATGGAAATAGACAATCTTGGATCAAGGGGAAATACCGAACCTGAAATTTTGCTTAAAAAATCAATAAATTTGGATTGCCAAAGTAACCTTAACAAGACATACGAGCAACAGAAATATGGGCACTTCCAAAGGTTGTTCGTACGCGTGACTTTGGAGATATCGAATATCGGATATCCAATATTCGATATCCAGTTAGTGATGCCATGCTCCTTCTCTGCCGTGCTTTATTAATATGGCCTCAAAAATAATAAAAAATTGCATTTAAAATAAAATCCATCCAAATTTTTGAAACAGCAATGATTATATATACTTATTTTCCAAATGGTATTAATGTACGATAGTATTAAAATTATAATAATATTAAAAGATTTTGTTATCATTAACTGCAGTTAGAAATGAGTATTAATTCTGGAAACGAAAATGATAAGAAAAATATTATAATTTAAACAAGACTGGTTTACTGGAATACTCGTGTGAAGCTAGCCTGATTTCCCCTCGTGCAGAAAATAAGGCTCTGCCGTTTTTGTGTTTAATTTCTGTCGAGCATGCTCTGTTTCCAATATTATGTCAAAACATGTCAAACATCACTTGTACTTTTAGAATGATTGCTAAATTTTAGAGAACCAAGCACATGCAGTTTTCGCTACATGCTGGGGGCGTGCAACTCCACGTGCTGTACAATTACGACAATTTAAACAATACGGAAACATTTTCAAATTGATAGTTTTGTCACTTGTCAGTTGCGAAATCAAACTATTACTAAATTTTTACAATTGCTAACTTGCTAGTTTATTTTATCCTACGTTACTTTTCAGTATATTTAAGTTATTGTCAGCCCAATTTCTGTTATAAAGTATATAGTTTTAAATTTTGCAAGTATATATAGCGGGCTCAAATTGTAGTAATCGGTTTACATACAAAACGAAGGCGAGCGCATTCAAAACCGGTTAGAACTGGTTTATTACCGGTTTACTTCGTCCAGAATTTTGGACGAACAAAAGCAAAGAACGGCAGAAAACATAAAAACGTAAAAACGGCCTTATTTCTACGCGAGGGGAAATCAGGCTGCTATCCGGGTAGTGTGACGCAAAATGAGTACAATTTATTGTCCCTTTTGTATTGGATTTAAAGCATTATTATTATAATAAACGCAACGCATGCAAAATCTCAAGTTAAATTTCTAGTGAAACTATATTGCTCTTGTTTTTACTTTAAAGTTATAAAGTCATTTTAGAGCACAAAAATTTACTTGCATTGCAGGTTAACGCAGCTTATCGAAAAAGCAACCTTGCCAGTAGATATAAAGGATCTCAAGTTACAGGTTTTAGGTAAGCTCATGCGTTGTTATAAAAAAGAAGTGACACTAAAACGTTGGTTGAATATTATTGGATACACAATAATTTAATTTAATTTAATTTAATTTAATTTAATTTAATTTAATTTAATTTAACAAATTTATTTGGATCAATGTATATGTATATAACACATTTGAAAGCTAGATCCAAAACGGCAGGGTACGAACGGGACTCTTTGAAAAGTTCCCATGCAAGCCACCTTCCGGCGTCCAATTATATGATTATATGTACATTTATATACTTTATATTCACATAGTATACATATACGCACGCTCACAGACAAAGCACGCACACAGACAGGTTACACGCACAGACTAGCCTGCGTAGCAGGCGGTATTCGCGGACCCGAGAGAATGGGAAACTTGAAATACCGCCTGCCCAGTGTTTCCACAACGCATCATTCAAATTTCCTTGATTTTGCTAATTAGAATGTCCTTGAATTTCCTTGAAATAGGATGTAATTTCCTTGAAATTTCCTTGATTAAAGCGAAGTATATTTCGGCAACTAGAATTCATCAATACTTATACAGTAAAGTAAGACAGAAACAGAATGGTACGTTTATTTCGTACAACTCTTAAAAACAAAGCCTTTACACAACAATTTTGAAAGCTTTAAAATGTAAAATACTAGAGTTTAATATTGTTCTCAATAGTCAACAAATTCACATGCCAAAATTCGCCTGCACGCAACACGCTACCTGATTTCGGCCTAAAATTCAGGTTGTGTGCAGCCGACTTATAATTAGTTTAATTAATAATTATAGATTCTACTGACTCAGTCACAAGCTCCGAAAAAGGTTTTTTACTTTTCCACGCGGACATATTGGTTATGAGCGAAGAAAAGTAATATAATTTAAAATTAATGAAAGGTTCCTGGGAGAATCTTCAAAACATTTCAGTTGACTCAAAAATTCCTTAAATTTCCTTAGAATTTTCAAAAATTCCTTAGATTTCCTTGATCCCTTTTTTTTCCATGAAACGTCTTTTTTCGGTCAAAATTTCCTAGAAAAAGAAAATTTCCTTGAAAGTGGAAACACTGCGCCTGCCCAAAAACTACACATTCTGAGTTCTCCCCGGCAGCTGGGTGCCGGAGCATTCTGATTGGTAGCCTGAGTAGCAGGCGGTATCTGATTGGTCAGAATGTTGATTTTGAATTTTTGATTGACAGGAATACAGAATTAGAATAATTAGTGCAAATTTTAGAAGTTACTGTTGCCGTATTTATAATATAAACTATTGTTATTTTCGTAATTGTACCGATATATCGAGTGATGGCATACACTAACCAGAAGATAACGAATGTATTAATTGAGAATTAAGCGTTAATTGAATTCTTTGATCTTTATCTGGAATCGGAAATCACTTCGTCTTGAAGAATGAACAACGAATGTCATTCCAACATTTGTTGCTTGAAGATGTGATACTGTGATAAAAGTGTAGATTTGAAGATACAGGCTCGTAAATGACACTCTAAGTCGTGTTTTTGATAGCGATTGGAACAAGCCTATTACAAAGTTACGTCTGAAGGGGCCGAAGTTGTGTTCGGCGAAAGGTATGGCTAGTCTATATTTTTGTTCAGACAATTGCGTAATTTGATAATACACGAACTCGCTTCACTTTCAATGTGACTTTCAACTGGTGTAAATACGTGAGTTTGACAAATAATTAAAATAAATACATTACTGTAAGATGGGCGAGACCATGCGTTGGGCGGAACTCAGAATGTGTAGTTTTTGGGCAGGCGGTATTTCCAGCTTCTAACCGCCTGCTACGCAGGCTACGCACAGACAGGTTACACACAGACGCTTAAAGGCCATTTCCCACCGCAGTCGCCCCGCACGCGCGATTTTATCATGTGAAAAATTAGTTCTACTTTCATGGCGTGTCCGCGAGAATTCAGGCGGACAAAAATGAATGTCCTTTCCGCTCGCGCGGGCAAAGCGACTGCACTGGAAAATAGTCCCAAAGATGGTCTATTGAACACACATTTACTTTCGCTGTTCTCTGTGACAGGGACAGTCACGCACCGAGAACCAAGTACAGGGTACGTCAACATCATATACAAAGCGTAGAAGTTCAAAATAGCTGCGTTTAAGAACGTTTTTGAAAGAGATAGGGCTAGAAAATGTATCTGGATTGACATCGTGACATACATTTAGTGTAGGACCTGTATATGAGTTTGCATGCATTTCATTTAGGACAGATGATCTCAACTGTTTTGGGGCAAGTTGACTATGGCGGTCAACATAGTAACGCTGCCCGAACCTCAATCCGGGGCGAAACGTCCGAAACTGACCACACCCAAAAACGACGCTTTCGCCATACTGCTATCTACCAAACCATAAAAGCTTTGGCTATTCTGAGGTGCTTATATGGTTCAAAGTTGGTACTTTTGGGGGTGGTCATTGGTAAGTGTGAAATGCCTAGCACTAATATTTCACAAGAAAATGACCATCCAGTAATCATAGTTAAACGTCAATTTGTGGCTTGCAAATTCAGATAAACAGCAGTAAACTTACATTACCTTTTTCCCTAAATCCTTTTGATAGAAACATAATTGGTACCTATCTAAATATATTATCACTGGTTTGGTGTAAAATAGTAAATATTTTCTGACCAAAATATTAATTTGAAATGTGCCTATCTCCTGCAAATGGACGTATTTGGCCAAGTTCTCCACTTTACTCCGCTGTTTATCGGCGATCTCGTCGACATCCTTCCAAAAATGTAAATCATCTCAGACATAATGGTATCAAGAACATTTTAAACAAGTTTCAACTTGGTTTCAAGTAGATCACAGCTGTTCAGTTAACCATTGACAAGATAAATCCACAACTTTGTCCAAATTCGGCGCCACTTTGTCATCCCATGTCGGTTGTCAACAATTCGGCCTTGTTACTCTTCCATTCAGGCCATATCCATTGCACAAATAACAAATTTAGCACTTTGTTAAGGCATGTAGTAAAACACTGACTACCGGAACACCGGAACACCACCGGAACACCACCGGAACACCATCGGAACACCACCGGAACACCACCGGAACTCCACCGGAACACCACCGGAACACCACCTAACCCTAACCCTAACCCCAACCCTAACCCCAACCCTAACCCTAATCCTAACACCAAACCCTAATCCTAACCCTAACCCCGAACAAAATGGTGGTGTTCCGGTGTTCCGGTGGTGTTCCGGTGTTCCGGTAGTCAGTGTTTTACTACATGCCCTTTGTTAAGGGTATTAAAATAAAAATCCAAATGAAATATGCGAAATGCAGCATTTTATCACCCGGTAAAATTTTGCTCACGAGTCTTTCAAAACATTCCGTACAAATCTCGCGTGGTTTAGCAACAGGGACGTGACAGGGGGGGGTGAATTATTTCACGAAGATAGAAGAAGGTTGCGTGAAATAGACTAAAAGCTAAATACAATCATACAAACGTTTGTGTTATTTCTTGTAGCGACAAATATATACATATTATTATTTATTAATATGAACAAATCATACAAATTAAATGTTGATTGTTGGTTTTAGTACGTTTTACCATACTTTGTAACTGTGTGGGCTTTGCTTTCATTTTTGAGTCTCTACTCCCTCCCCCCCCTGCCACGTCCCCGTTGCTAAACCACGCGAGATTTGTACGGAATGTTTTAAAAGACTCGTGTGCAAAATTTTACCGCGTGATAAAATAAAATTTTACATATTTCATTTGTATTTTTATTTTAATACCCCTAACAAAGGGTTAAATTTGTTATTTGTGCAATGGATATGGCGTGAATGGAAGAGTAACAAGGCTGAATTGTTAACAAGCGACATGGGATGACAAAATGGCGCTGAATTTGGACAAAGTTGTGGATTTACCTTGTCGATGGTTAAACAGCTATGATCTACTTGAAACCAAGTTGAAACTTGTTTAAAATGTTCTTGATATCATTATGTCTGAGATGATTTACATTTTTGGAAGGATGTCGACGAGATCGCTGATAAACAGCGGAGTAAAGTGGAAAACTTGGCCAAATACGTCTATTTGCAGGAGGTAGGCACATTCTAAATTATTATTTTGGTCAGAAAATATTAACTATTTTACACCAAACCAGTGATAATATATTTAGATAGGTACCAATTATGTTTCTATAAAAAATATTTCGGGAAAAAGGTAACGTAAGTCCACTGCTGTTTATCTGAATTTGCAAGCCACAAATTGACGTTTAACTATGATTATTGCATGGTCATTTTCTTGTGAAATATTAGTGCTAGGCATTTCACACTTACCAATAACCACCCCCAAAAGTACTATCTCTGAACCATATAAGCACCTCAGAATAGCTAAAGCTTTTATGGTTTGGTAGATAGCAGTATGGTGAAAACGTCGTTTTTGGATGTGGTCAGTTTCGGACGTTTCGCCCTGGATTGGGGTTCGGGCAGCGTTACCATGTTGACCGTCATGGTCAACTTGCCCCAAAACAGTTGAGATGGTCTGTCCTAAATGAAATGCATACAAACTCATATACAGGTCCTAAACTAATTGTTCCACGATTTGACAATACGGTTGAAATAAGATGATTGAAACGTAGCAGTTCTACACATAGGAGTTTGAAGCATTACACCAGTAGCTTGGCCAAGTGCATAATACCTGTAGCTGGTGCAGCTAAAAGTTTGTGAAGACTATTTTCCCTTGTCATACATGCGTGCGCCGCTAAATCGTAGTGTGCGTATGCCCTGCCATACTGTGTTTATCTTAACTCACACGACTTTCTGTAGAGCGTTGGTGACATTTTTCCGAACTCAAAGGTAAAAACCGCTTGCTTTGATGTACAATGTAATTGCTTTTATTTACAGGGAAGGATCAGTGATTGCAACGTACGTTGTTACGTTCGGTCAAGCAAGGCAAGAAATTACGGTTTCGAATGTTCAAGCTGCCATACAACGTCAAGTTACCGAAACCGTTACTGGCACTTTCCTTGGGCAATATCAACTATCCGGAACCAGGCAGACTGCAGTAATGTATCAAGGTTAGTCGATCTTCTCATTTCGTAGGGAGAAGCTGTCGTCCTAAAAACATACATATGCAGCTTTTTCAATTAAGATTATCATAGTGGATTGTACCTTTCAAGAGCGAACAATAAGATGGGTATACCAAATTTTAACTGATTTTCAGGTGTTTTGGTAGCCTGTGACTATTTTTTTTTATTTTGATAATTCCCCGATATATACATGATTTATAATAAATTTTACACTATAAAATATAATCTTATTCCCATGGCGTTTGAGAAGAGATTTTCGGTCGATTTTAAGAACAAGTACGGACAGTATATTGACCAACAGCTAGCCAATGAAATTATGAAAGCCTTTGTTAGTGTAATGGACGACTATACTCCGTTATCGGAGGACGTATTCGTGCTGACGGGATCACGATGAACCTATTGTAGTTGACTACGAGTCAATCTCAAAAAACCTCGGCAGCTCAACCTATCAAGAGCGGGTAGTCGTAGTGGTATACGTATAGCCAATTGATTTTAAAGATATTCTCTGATATATTATCCCCAGTCGTCACAAACAAAATTCAGGCAAATGAACATGTTACAGTACTTCCTTACCACAAAACAGTTGCCATTGATTACTTTAACGAAGATTTGGGACCAATCACCTTAACACCAACTTTATCCAATATTATCATAAAGCGGGAAATAAGCCGTCGCTCTGCATGACAGCGAAGACGTACCCAAGACAATTTGGTTTTTCATTTCGATGTTACATCGCTGGTCAGAAAACACGGTGGCAGTGGTTCGCGCATCACGGTTGCACTTCAGGATTACAGAAAAGCGTTAGACTTAGTGGATCAAAATAATTTAATCCCTAAACATTTTAGTCTTGGAGTCAAACCTACAGTTGTATATTAGATTGCTGACTTTCCACGTGGCACATCACAGCGTCTAACGCTTAATTTGACCGCTTTTCAAATTTCGAAATAGTTCCAGCTGAATTTCGGCAATATACCAAGAATGGTCCTTGGCTACATTTAGCGATGATCAATGATTTAGCAATCCCTGGTAACTCCTCTAACTTGCGGAAATTTGCAGGGGACAACACAGTTTCCGAAATAAAATTCAAAAACTGGATCAAGTGGACTACAGGAAGAAACGGATCAGATAAATTGTTGGACGAACAAAAATAATTTCCAGCTAAATTCTCAGAAATGCAAACACCTCCAGATAACCTCCAGATATGCAAACAACCAAATAACTTTCAATGACCAAGCTTTTGAAGTCGTCCAATCTCCCAAAAATCTTGGTGTAACTATTAGACAAGATCTTAAATGGAATAATCATGCAACTGATATTACCTACAAGGCATCAAAGCGACTATATCTTCTAAGACTATAAAAAAACACATGTAGACATGTAGACGTACATTCGTTAGTGCAATTCTACTGTACGTGCATCCGATTAATTCTAGAATATACCTGCCGTACAGACATTTTATAGCAACTTGACAGTGTATTTGCGTCTAATAAATTTGAAAGAATACAGAGACGAGCTTGTCACATGCTTTTCCGAGAGGAAGATTATGGTGACTTATTAAAATTAACAGGCCTACAATCCTTGGCGGATAGAAGAGATTGACTATGTGGAGAACGTCTTAACTCAGCATCTCTTAACAGGAACACAAATTAGCGGATTTACTAGCACCAGTAAATTCAAACACTATAAATCTTAGGTTCATCTCAAAATATCGTTTAAAGACAGTTCATTAACAATTACGCTTCATAAGCTCCCTCTCTATTGCGGATTATGCTGAAAAAATAAAAATGACGGCCGTATAAAGACGGAGTGATAGCTTATATACTTGCAAACATTAAAATATTTCAATTGTCGGGTCGGCGTCGGCAGTTTTTATTAAAGTTTTCAGCATAATCATCAATATGATACTTTACTGTACTTTTTCCATCACCCCTACATGCACAAATAAAAAGCTAGAATTGCCTATTAGTTTTGGCCTCCTGCCAACCTCCTGCCAAGAAATATTTACTTTTAGTTATCGCACGGGAATATTATAGTAAGGGATATGGATCAAATTACAGTATCTATTTTAACCCGCAAACTTCATTCTTCTCCTTAACTCGAAGATGGGATTGATTGACATAGAATCACTGTAAATATTTTCGTCTTTGAGAACCTGCCCAAACAAAGCAAAATTACGTGAAACAATCCTACTTCAATCTTACTTGTTATACTTTGAAACAATTTCGAAAAAACAAGTCACAGTCTTTCATGAAATAAGTAACAAAAACTTGAGACCGGTAGCACTCTTCCGGGTAAAGTTTACTTAACTTTTCTTGATGATATCAATTAGTATATAGCTAATTCTATAACGCTGTTGAGTGTGGATGCCAATAGGGCTTATAATTCTGTTTCAACCCCCTGTCGCTTAAAAAGCAGGCACATTTCAAGTATTCTTGTTTTTTTCGCGACAAAAATACTGAACTCAACTCCAACTCATCTCCAACTCAAATATAGCGTGCGAAAATGCAACGATATTTGATTCCCAAATAGATTATGATGAATGTAATCCTGCATCAAGTATTCATATTCAAGACTGTGGTACTGGAGCAACATGTACCAACCAAATAGGAACATATTCATGTCAATGTGATACTGGTTATGAAGGAACTCCTCCTTTTTGCGCAGGTATGTATATGAGTCGAGTTATTTTGGATCACGTGGTTAAAAAACTTAATGGCGAGTAAAGTTCTCACCCTCTCAAATGGTTTGAGTTTTGTTAAAAATTTCATTCCCGGCTGACAGTCATAGCTTTAGTTGGCCAAGACGGATGCAACTACCTAAACTATAATATAAGGTAAAATTCGATGTTTCAAAAACATTTTCTAGTCGGAAATCTAGTCAGTCGCTAGTACTTACTTACTTCACGACGAAAAGCTTGGAAATGTCAAGTATTTCCTTCATATTTTCTCCTTACAACTAAATATTTGTTATTATTCGCACTATTTTCACTGCACAAATACTTCAATATTATGGACAAAAACAAGCTGGGAATGAATTTCGAATAAGAATAAACAATTACGATTATGTGGTTTAATCGTCTTCAATCACGGGCTTTAGTTTGACAGCAATAATATTCTATCTGAATAGCAGCTAAAATAAAATGCATGCGGCACGTGCTTGTTTGACAGTGCTTATGGATTTACAAAAACATTTACATATTACGCAACTACGTACTGTATATTTTCAAAATCAGCCATGTTTAAGGAGCAGTCATTATTGAGGCCAGGGGGGGGCGGAAGATATTTGGGGTGGCCACCAAAAATTTATCAACCAGTTAGGGGGCGGCTACCAAAAATATCAAAGAAAAGTAGTGGGGGGCACCAAAAATAATTAACAATTATTCGCCGAAGGAGAGGTGATTATCGGTGAATAAAAACCGAGACGAAGTCGAGGTTTTTATTGACGATAATCACCGAACCTGAGGTGAATGATTGTTTTAGGATAATTTCATAGGTGATTATTTGAAAAAAATTTAAAATGCACATTTCTTCGTCTTTCAATTGACAAAACGGCTTCGGCCGCCATTTTGAAAATCGCTTAGGTGATTATCGCGTAATAATTACCTCAACGATAACCAATCAGCGTGGAGAATTTTCATTAATCATCTATGTAATTATACTAATATACAATAATCATAAAACATCAGCAATAAAAGTTCACTGTAATATAAGTATAGATAATCACACAGGAAGGAGTGCAATTAGTATAGTCATAGGTAATAGCATGGTTTCGAGTGCAATTTGGATATAACATGCACGAGTGAGTTTTTCAAAGACCTCGAAATAGCACGAGTCCGAAGGACGAGTGCTATTTGATGTCTTTGAAAAACTCACGAGTGCATGTTTATCCAAATTTCACGAGAAGCCATGCTATTACTTATTAATAATTTACATAAAAATGTTCGAGACAATTCTAGTTTTAACTTACGCGTTTATAGCGAACATTCCACCGGCAAACTTTTCCTGGCTTTGTTATATCACATTATGCAACGCTAACAGCTTGAAAATTCCACTCAACTATGTAATTTTTGTTAGTCTTGTTTAAGGTCAATGCTTTTCCATTTAAAAATAAAGACAAAAGCCATATTTTTCACGTGAAAGCAACTTTTATTTCACTGTAGCGCGGCGCCATGTTTGTTTTGTTTTGAAGCAATCTGTGACCGTTACTTCTTTAAACTAAATTGCTTTAAACTGATTGGTTGATTTAATTATCGCAATGTTTTTTCCACCAATCAGATCAGTTTGTTACAGATTTTTGCGCTGTGATTACAGAAAATTGCACTGTGATTACAGAAAATTGCACTGTGATTACAGAAAATTGCACTGTGATTACAGAAAATTGCACTGCTGTTGGGGATTAACTGCACTGAAATCAACCAATCACAGTCGAGTAATATCTTTATGTATACTATTTATTATATTAACACTACGAGTAATATTTGAAAAATGCGCCAAAATTGCACAAGCTGTTAATTAATTGCCAGTTTTAATTGCACGACTTGCCCGAGTGATTATTTATTTTATACATAGCATGATGAAATTCATTAAAATTCAACTGACAACTTCATTTTGTCAAGAGTTTTTAATTCTTTTGTAAGCAATTTGGCATACAAAAACTTGGGAAACGATCATAAACTCTTAAAGGCACATAATTTAAACTATATGGACAAATGAAATCTGCTGTGTTGGTGTAATGTACTCAGGTGAATAAGATGTTTGTGTGATGTTGCTCTGAGTGTATATCCACACCGTGCAGGCTTGAAAAATATGACTGGCCACGGCGGGATTCGAACCTACGACGTTTGGAACACTAGCCAAATGTTCTTCCAACTGAGCTACGCGATCAGGACGGTTCGCGTATGCGATATTTCGGAACTGAGTCTAGTTCCTTCGATATCAGTGTAATCTAATAATCATGAAATCTGCTGTGTTGGTATATGCCTGGCCACGGCGGGATTCGAACCTACGACTTTTGAAACACTAGGGCTAGTATTCCAAAGGTCGTAGGTTCGAATCCCGCCGTGGCCAGGCATATTGTTCAAGCCTGCCCGGTGTGGATATACACTCAGAATAACATCACACAAACATCTTATTCACCTGAGTACATTACACCAACACAGCAGATTTCATGATTATTAGATTACACTGATATCGAAGGAACTAGACTCAGTTCCGAAATATCGCATACTCGAACCGCTCTGACCGCGTAGCTCAGTTAGAAGAGCATTGGGCTAGTATTCCAAAGGTCGTAGGTTCGAATCCTGCCGTGGCCAGGCATATATTTCAAGCCTGCCCGGTGTGGATATACACGCAGAGTAACATCACACAAATATGTGGACAAATGATTGAAACTCAAATAACATATGAAATTATTAAGAATGTCTTTATAAATTGTATTTATACAGACTTACTGTTACGGACGCTACTATAATTAATCTAATTATTTCGCGCCGTTTGTTGACATTAGCATAATTAATTTAGGGCCAGTCTTCGCGAGCGAGGTTTTTTGGAAAACTATTGATATTCGTGATAGATATACAAACGTAATCTGCTTTAAAATCGCCATAAGATGTAAGTATTTCTTTCATTTTGACTTTGAAA